CGGAAAGGTTAGCAGGTATACTGATTTTTATGATCATTTCTTACTTTCGTTTTATCCTCCAAATCATAACTATCTCTTCAGTCATACTTTTATTCATTTGGGATATCAGTTTTCTAGGACCTCTAAATATTAATGACTTAATGGTTACATCTTAACCACCAAAGGCCATAGTTTCTTCTCTAGATTCTTCAATTGAGATTCGGTGCAGATTTAAAGGCCATTAAGTAAGAACTACGCGGTATTTTGTGCTTTTCCTTTTAGCCCTGATGGTCTGCTTGAGCCAGTCTTACTCATCCTTTGTTAACGTTATTGCTGTACAAGGCATAGATTGGTTTCTCACACCGTTACTTATCTTATACTCCAAACAGATGACGACAGTGAGGGCTTCTCAGGGCTGCAACGAGTCGACCGATGGTACGCAATGTCTCAATGATCAGGAAAATGATTGCAAAGACCATACTTCTCTTCCATCAGTTCCAAAGCGGGTTAGTATCGTACCTTTCTCCGCTTTGCCGCAGTCGATGAGACCTTCACCGGCCTTACTGAGGCAAATGCATGAGACTGACTTGCTAGAGGGGCAGTCTCACGCACGACAATATGACGAATTCGGCTTTCGAGTCAATTTTAATCAAGGTTAGCTGCTTTTATATATTTAATATATTTCATAGAGGTTGTTGCATTCTAAAAAGAAACCATTACATAATAATGTCACTAAACATAACATAGTAATCGGATAAGCTGAGGGAATAAAGTCGGTACATTTTAAAAGTATATAAAGTTTAGAAATAAAGAAATATATAATCGGTTTATGAATAGCTCACACATCGAGGTGAATCAACATGGCCAAAAAAAAGTGCAAAACATAAAAGACCAAGATGTTGTTGCCTCTGGTATGGTCGGACTTCTATAAAAAAATAGTATTGGCAACCAATGAATATATTGAAGTGGGTTGACTTCGTTGTCGTAACTTGGTCTTGTTGTCAGGGCGACTTGGTAGACAAAGTAGTAGTAGCTTTGTCTCTTTGACGAGTTGGTAGCTTGGTGCGGCGAATGGCAAAACTCACTGATGATGCCGACTATGATGTCGGCGAAACGTTTGAGAATGTACCAAG